TTGAAATCAAAACAACATTCCAAGCCACAAAAAGCAAGTCAGGTGACTACTTAGGTATCATTTATCAGCGTTTTGTCACCGTCACCTCTCTACACAAGATTCATTCCCCTGTGTTTGCTCAGTTAACTGACCTTTAAAAAATTACTTTTTGACCTTCTTTTGATTTCTTGACATTTCCCTCTGTAAAAATACTAAAAAAACTACTTCTTGGTTCTCAAAATGACCTTCTCACAAACGAATTCTTGCCTAACTCAGAAGTTGAGAATCAATTTTATTACCTCAATGAACCTTGAGTACAGATGATAAGGAATCTTACGTAGAGCGGTGTCTGCGACAAAACATTGAAGGGATAGCCGATTGAAGAGAGAAAGAGATGCAAAAGTTCAGATGAATCAAATTCGAATCACATCAGTGTACAATTATCTGAATCGTAAACTGATCGCCTGCAAAACAAACAAATACTTAAACGCTATCAACGTCGAATTCCAACTGTGAACGATAAACTCTCATGTCACTCATCAGTTCCTCAATTAGTCATCTACCATAACCATAAAAATTCACTCAAACTTAATCAAGCATATGATACTACATTATAAATGTAACAAAAACATTTCGTGACCAGCACGTCGAAACAAAGCAATGTGACTACTGTAACTGAAAAAAGGATAGTAGTTGAGATGCTATCCAAACGGTTCCTAAATATGACTAGATATGCGTACAATGATGATCACGTCTCAAAAACACTAACACAAACAAAATTATATCGATTATATTTATTCATCTTGTATCCCACACTTGAACAACAAACACACAAAATAATGAAATACACGATAATATTACCATGATAATAACAACAGTGAATGCGATTCACGACTGCTGCAAACTTTCAATAAGCAGATTATCAGTCGTCTTTGAGTGCTTGTAAAACCGAGCATCAGTACAACATGTAATGTCATTTCGGGACATTATTCGTCATTTAAGCATAGAAACATCAGATTCTTCACAGGAATAAATCATTTGAAAATAAAACTTAAAAGATTTCATTATAAAGTTCACAGTCATTGGCGTAGCCAGGATGTTCCCAGAAAGGGAGGAGGAGCAGCTGGATGAAGGCTCATAATGGTCTCAAAAAAAAAAAAAACGCTGAATTTTTCCACTTTTATTTTTTCTTATTCCTTCTTCTCTTTTCGGTTTTCTATTCCCCAGTTCCTTCTCGTTTCCTCCTTTTATTCCCTGTCTTCTATCGTTGACTACACCACTGTTTACAGTCATGCCAGTGTCAGCAAGAATAATAAATCCAGAGATCAACTGACGTCACAAAATGCCCATTAAAATCGATGTTACTAAGTAACAGCGTGATAAATAATCGTCAGGCATTTCAGGACCCGTTCAACAATAATTCTACTGCATAACAACAATGGTACCAATAACTACAATAACAATAACCAAAAAACAAAAGTGAAACATAGAATCACAATGAGCAAAATCTATATGAAATTAAAAAGTTGTTTCCGAAAAACTGTTGATTCTTTTTTTCAATTGTTTAATCGAAGTCTCCAGCTTCGCAATATCGCCAGAACTGAAGATGATGATAAATCATCACACAATGCATCGGCAAACAATGATATTTAAAATTAGAAATACTGCCTTATGATTACTCAAACTAATTTCTACACATCATACTACCGAAAGTGTCAAAATTAGATCACATTTACTTACACGCATACATCAATACTAACACCAAAGACAGTTTCGGCAAATTTCGGTTGTGATAATCTTCACTCTGTTAAAAAATCATTCATTGTTAGTTCAAACGCATCTATATCTAACTTTATAATAATTGACAATAGAAACATACTTTTTGGATAGCATAAATGCTCTCGCATTCGATGAGGCTTGGAATGGACGCGTAAAACCGAGTCTTTCACGACGCAATGATGCAGTTTCATCAGCAAGCTGCAAATGAATCATCAGTCGTTTGAAAAGATACATAACACGGCGCAACCAAAATTCATGGCAAAAATTGATCAGTGATATTACACATACATATGGAAGTATAATTAGAGATACAGACTGTAGCTTCTGAAACAAGATCATAACATGTGGACAACAATAAAGTTTATTTATCAAATTAATATCATGGCAAACTGAAAATTCACTTACTTGAGAAATATACTGTAAATGCTCATTCAGAGTTGACTGCATTTTGTTTAATTTCTCAAGTGTTTCTTTCTCGGCATTCGTTAACATCGGAACTCGTTGTGACAGAACTGATCGGATCTTAAAAAAGAAAACAACCCATTTTATAGATGCATCCACCTAGCGCATTTTGATTGAATCAGAAATATGCACTTTAATAATATTCACTACAGTTGTTCAATAACAAATTAGCTCGAAGTTGACTAATCCTGACTATATAAATGAGGCGTGCAAGTGCAATAAAACAAGGCTGCTCAAGCAGATTATCAGCTTGAAGCAATCAGTCGTATCTAAATAAACAATTATTACTCGTTGTAAACGCTTCCGAACGACTCCGACAGCGTTGCGAATACGATAAATTTTATTCTTCATTTGCAAATAATCTCGAACCACATTCAGCAATCGTGCATCAACTTCATCCCACTGCTCTTGAAGGTCTATCTTGCGTTGATGTGCATCATTTAACCTGTGAAAATACGCATATATATACATATATATATATATATATATATATA